TGTGTGTGTGTGTGTGTGTGTGTGTGTGTGTGTGTGTGTGTGTGTGTGTGTGTGTGTGGTGTACACACATACACATATACATATATTTTATAATTATACAGAATGTTGATATATTTATGAGACAGTTTGGAAAACCAATTTTAGAGACAAACTCAAAACAAACAAACTCAAAAATTAATAATGTTGGTTAAATATTGTTTATTAAATAATTATAATTATTTAAGTTTGATAAAGTAAGATAAAAGTATAAAATAATAAAATAAAATAATAAGTAAAATCGTTCTATATGTAGATTATTGCTTTATCTAATGCAATTTAAATTGCTTATAATTTAATAAATGAATTTCAATAAAGATTTATATATAACCATTTTTGTGTTTGGTCTCTAAAATCAATCTTCTAAAAGTGTCTCATAAATTAATAACATTCTATATATATATATTTATATGCATAAATCAAATTTTATTAAGCTTTATTAATATTATGATCTTTCATAATACTGTAGTTTATAATTTTAATTATTATATTGTTTTTCAATATAAAGACTTACTATATTAGACAAAGCTAATCACTATCAATTGTAACAGACTCTTTTAATTCTGATTCATCAACATAATGATTCTTTGAATTTCTTTCTTCTGCAGACTTTACACACTATAACAATTTAATTATGAATTTACTTAAATTATTATTAATTATTGTATTCAAAATTATAATTACTATTTTATCAAATATATTTTTTCTCTAAAATTTTGTAAAATATTACAAAAAAACTTACATCTTCAATTCTTATACGAGGTGATACAATTTGTTCAGGAAAATGCCAAGGTTTATAATTTGGATTATTAAGTAATTTCCAATTAGGATAAGCTACAGAAGCTTTATGTAACTTTTTAACCATCTAAAATAAAAAATATAGTTAAAAAATTTGATATAAATGAATATAAAAGTATATACCTTTGGAGCAAATATTTGTGTAATTTTATTAACTAGCCAAACTGGTAATTTTCCATGTGGATCAGTATGAGATACATAACCCAATTCAGAACCATCACCATTTCGAGATGGTCTTACAATATATCCTTAAATTAAAAAATTTAATAATGAAATAATATAGATACATAATGATATATAATGAAATTTATATTTCAAATTTTACCTGTAAGATAAGATGTTGCCCGAACAAATTGTTTTCGTGGAGGATAATCTTTATGAAATACAGAATGATTCAAAATTAATTGCTCTATACCAGTATCAAGCCATGATCTTTGTAGAATAAAATCTCTGTTTTTCAATGGAGATGGACAGGCCACTAATTAATATATATATACATATATATATATATATACATATTATTTTATATAATAATTATAATCTCTTTATATAAACAAATAAAATTAATCAATATTATTAAATACTTGCTTGAATAATAACCAATATCATTATTTGGATTAAAAAAACCTATGTCTTTTGATTCAATCATATGAGTATCCCAAACCTTTCGATATTCAGGATCATGTAATACATCATATAATGTTTCTGGAAGGACATCAGGAAAACGAGTTCTAATCTGTAAAATATTTAAATAAATAAAATTATAAATAATTTTTAAAAATTACAAAAAATAATAGAAAATTAAAAAATTACAAAAAAAAATTAAAAAATACTTACTTTTACCATTCTAAAACTAATTCCTGACACAGATTTTGTCCAAACTGATAAATCAGGTTTATTATAATCTAATCTCCAATCATTATTATTATCATACAATTGTTTTAATTTCTCAAAATCTTTATCTTCAGCAATTTTAACAATTCCAATATCCATTTTATAAGAATACTGTCTATGAAATAATCAACATAATTAATATATAAATATATAATTTTTAAAATAAATACAATGATAAATTTTTAAATGAATTTTATAAATTATTATTATCATAATTTGATAAAAAGTTAAAAATGAAAATACCTGTTATTCATAGAGTTTTTAGAAGTTTAATAAAAAATCTATGCATGTTCAGATCTGGTACATAATAGGCTTTACATTTATGCCAGAATAATCTTTTGGCAGTCTTAATCATTGTTTTGATTTCCAAAGGTAAAAATTAAATGTATTATACTTGAATTTCATTCATACTAAAAGAAAAAAGTAAAAATATGCTAATTTTGGGTGAATTAATATAATGAATTGAAATACAACCTTTTATCTAATAGAATACATTTTTAATTCTGTCACTACTAATCATTCATTATTGAATCATTAATAGTTGTATTATAAATTATAACAATAATATAAAATTATAAGTAAGAATGATAGTATAAATAAAAAGAAAAATTTAAATAACTCGTACAAACAATGTTAAGTATATTTTCCTAAAATTAAAAACAAATAATCTGAATAATAATTTTCTACCCTCGTATAAGTATACATACCTCATGTATATTAAATAGATCACTATTTACGCATAAGAATATTTTAAAAAATTAAAAATAACTTATTTTATATATTTAATTTATAAATCAACACAAATTGTATATAAAAAAATATTTATAAAGTTAAATTTTAATCCATATAATAAAAATCTGCATTGAAAGGATCTACTGACTTATGTGTTGTTACCGGTGTGATATATACTATTAACAGGTTAGTCCGGATTTACATCAATAAGATTATCTTTATATTCATATTTTCTAAGTTTTTATTACATTAACATATCATTTAATTTTTTATTTAAAGAATATTTTATTTTATTTGTAAGTATCTCAATTCTTAAATAGATATTCTTGAATTTATTATTATTTTACATATATTTTTTTTTATATAAATACATGTCATATATTTTTTTAAAATTTATAATATTAATAATAATTTTTTATATATATTTGTAAATCATCTAGTTAAATCTTAAGTTAAAAATTTTTTAATTTAATAATCACAATAGAAAAATATGTAAAATATAATTAATTTTAATAACTAAAATTAATTATTTTAATAACTAAAATTAATTAATTTTAATTAATTAATTTGTAATTAATTATTATTTATTTGTTATATATTCATAATATAAAAATATTATTTTTTTAAAATACAAATTTATTTTTTTATTATTTATCAATAATATTTTTAAATATAATTAATTTCAATAATATTATTAGATATTTATTCATAATTGCATATTATATTTTAGGTTATTCTGCTGAAAAATACTTAAGATGGCTTTAAAAATTTCTGTTAATACTGGAAATATTGATTTGGATAATAAAATCAATGAATGGTTGAAATGGAACAAGGTTTTTAATATAATATTTTGAATACAATTTAATATATATATATATATATATTAATTTTATACAATTTAATATATATATTATATTATAATATATATATTAATTTTGAATACAATTTATATATATATACATTAATTACGAAAACATGTTTAATATATTTTAGGATGTAATTCATGAACATAAAATTCAAGAACTCATTCTTAATAATAATAATAAAGTATTATCTTCCTTATTCTTAAAAAGACTTGAATTTGGTACAGCTGGTTTGAGAGGACGTATGGGTCCAGGATATAATCAAATAAATGATTTAGTTATAATTCAAACTGGTCAAGGCTTATCAATGTATTTACTTGATACCATAGTTAATGCAGCTGAAAAAGGTATCGTAATAGGATATGATGGACGTCATTGCAGTAAAAGGTAAAATTATTTAATTAAAATTTTTAATCATTATAAATTTTATATAATATTATTGTATATATATTTGAATATTATTAATATTAAATAAAATTATATAATATTATTTTAGATTTGCAGAATTAACTGCTGCAATTTTCATAGCAAGAAATATAAAAGTCTATCTTTTTTCAAAAGTTGTACCAACTCCATTTATACCTTATAGTATATTAAAATATAAATGTGCTGCTGGAATAATGATTACAGCATCTCATAATCCTAAAAATGACAATGGTTATAAAGTTTATTGGGAGAATGGTGCACAAATAATATCACCACATGATAAAGAAATCCAAAAATATATATTTAATCATTTGGAACCTATGGAATCTTCATGGAATATAACAAAAATTTATGAAAATTCTTTATATCTAAATCCATGGGACAATATTATGCAATCTTACTTTAATGATCTCAAAGAAACTGTTTTATATCCAGAAGTAAATAAAAATACAATATTAAAATTTACTTACACTCCTATGCATGGAGTTGGATATCAATACATGACTGCAGCTTTTAATGCTGCAAATTTTAAGGTATTATTATAACTTCTTTGATATTTTGACACTTTGATATTATGTATAAATTTATTTTAATAAAATTTATTATATAAACTTTTATAATTCAGTTTTAGTCAAGTTAATAAACATAAATAAATTAAATAAAATATCAAAAAGATTTTTATATTATATTATTTTAATTATTTTATTTAATTTATAATTTTTTTCAATAGCCATTATTCATTACAGCCATTTATAATAGTGGAAGAACAAAAGTTACCTGATCCAGAATTCCCAACTGTGAAATTTCCAAATCCTGAAGAAGGAAAAAGTACTCTAGATCTTAGCATACAAGTGGCAAATAAAAATTCTTCTTCTATTATCCTTGCCAATGATCCAGATGCAGATAGAGTAGCTTGTGCTACAAAAATGAAAAAGTAATACTTTTCATTAATATTTATACAATATTTTAGAATTTATTTATTATTTTTTTATTTTAATAGTGATGAATGGTATATTTTTTCTGGTAATGAATTGGGAGCACTTTTGGCTTGGTGGATGATACATAAATATCAAGTACAACATACTGATACAGATTTTTCAAATGTATATATGTTGGCATCTACAGTTTCGAGTAAAATTTTAGCATCAATGGCTAAACAAGAAGGATTTAATTTTGAAGTATGTATGTTAAAAATAAAATTAAAATATTTGTTATTTTTTTTATCATGTACTTTTTTTTGTTTCAAAAGGAAACATTAACAGGTTTTAAATGGATGGGTAATAAAACTATAGAACTAGAAAAAATGGGTAAAATAGTTCTATTTGCATATGAAGAAGCTATTGGATTTATGTGTGGTTCAAAAGTTTTTGATAAAGATGGCATAAATGCTGGAATGCATATTGCAGAATTAGCTGCTTATCTTGAAACTATGGGATTAACTCTGCATGATAAATTAAATGAAATATATAATCAGTATGTAATGTTTTAATTCTTCTGTCATATTTTATATTAGAAATATTTATTAAAATGAACGATATTATAATTAAGATTTATAATCTTATAATTCTATATTTATTTATGACATATATATATTTGATTTAGATATGGATATCATATATCTAAGAATTCATATTGGATATGTCATGAACCAAATATAATCAAGAAAATATTTGAAAGATTACGGACATATTTGGGAAAACCAAATACAGTAAGACAATACATATTTAAAATATTATTCTTATTATTTTAATTTTAAATATTTTTTAGTATCCAACAAATATTCTCAATGGAAAGTATCCCATAATAGGTATTCGTGATTTAACAACTGGCTATGACAATACAAAACCAGAAAACAGAGCCATTTTACCTATTTCAAAATCTAGTCAAATGATAACATTTACATTTAAAAATGGTTTAGTTGTAACATTAAGAACTAGTGGTACTGAACCTAAAATTAAATATTACAGTGAATTATGTGCATCTCCTGAAGAACAGTAAGTTATTCATATTTTTAATAATTTCAATATATGTTTAATTTTTGAAGATTTTATAAAATTATATTACAGAGATATTGAAGTATTAAAAACCATTCTTGATGAAATGATATTAGCTGTTGTGATGGAATTTCTTCAACCTGAAATAAACAATCTTCTATGTCGTGATAAAGAAGAAAAATAGTTTAAAAAAGAATCTTATAGTTTAAATTTATTGTTTTTCAAAATAATATTATTATGTTTTCTGATAACATATTGTTACTCATATATCACTCAAAAGTGTTAATATATTGGTGGATTATCTTTGAATTGAATATATAAAAGTCAAAATAAACAAAAATTAATGTATGTAAATAAACAAAAATTTCTATAATTCTATTTCTTTCATTTAACATAAGCTTTAATTGCTTATAATGTAGCTTCAATCGAGATTTTTGTACAGCAATTTTTGTATTAATTCTAATCTTTGGAATCAATTTTTCAAAAGTGTTCCAAAATATATTAACACTCTGTATACAATTTAATTAACTTTATAATTTCTCATTACTTATAATTATAATCTTCAATATATTTGATTTGATAATTTTTTTTTTTAAATAGAACATAATTCATTATATTATATAAGAAAAAATATGGATATAGTTAATGATTGTTAAAAAATTTTGTAAATTTTTACATAATTTTTTCAAAAAATATTTATATTAATAAATTAAGAAATTAAAAGAAAATTATACATATATATATATATATATATATATATATATATATATA